GGGCAGCCACAGCTTCGACCCCTTCCCGTGTCCCACCGCCCTCATAGGGGAGAACTTCCTTGTATCCCACCCAGCTCTTCCCTCTTCCACTTGGAAGCCCAAACTCCTCATCCCATCCCTGCCTCCCTTGTCCCAAGCCCCTCTCCAGGTTCCCTGCAGCCCCTTCAGGCCCTGGAGCTGCTCTGAGGTTTCCTCATGGATTGAGGCAGACCCAGCCCAGCCCGGCCCTGGGGCTCTGAGCTCCTGCCCTGGCTGCACCCCCTTCATCCCGGTGCTCTGGGTCCCTGTCCCCCATTCCCTGCTGCTCCCTGCCCACTGTGCCCGCGGCCCTCCATGGGGTGACCCCCAGCTCGTGTCCGGGTCTGACGGGTGTTTTCCTGCCCTCTCCATGCAGGATCCGGGTGTCCCGGCAGCGCGGGCAGGGCTCAGCTACATGGAGACAGGTACAGGCAGGGGCGGGATCAGGGAGCATCCCCGTATCCCTTCGGGGCACGCACCCCAACAGCGACCCTGGGGGGGGCAGGAGGGGCTGCTGGAAGGGGGTGTTCCCAGGGAGGGGGGCAGATCCTGCTCTAACTCCTCTGTGATCCAGGGGGCTCCAAGGCAGGAGGAGGCAGCACCCAGGAGTCTCCCAAGGCTGCCGGGTAAGGGCAGGGATGCTCCATAGGGATGCTGAGGGGTCCTTGTGCAGGGATGCGGCTCTGCGGGCTGTCAGCAGCAGGCATGGCCCGTGCAGTGATGCTCGGGGGGCTCAGTGGTTATCCCGGTGTTCCCATTCCCACTGCAGGGCTCAGGAGCAGCAGGCAGAGCAGGAGAAGGCGCTGCTCCTGGCGCAGGAAACCATCCAGGTGAGTGCCCCACTCCTTGCCACAGCTCCCCTTTGCCTCCGCACCCATCCCGGGGCTGCACCGGCTCTGGAGGCACCCGCGGGTGTGGGATGCGCGGATCCACGATTCCCAAACGATCCCAATGCTCGTCCTCTCTGCCCGGTGATGAGGGTGACGCGGAACGGGGGCAGCCCCTTTGCGCGCTGTGGCCCCTCAGGGCTGTGGCTCGGTGTTGCCTAAAACCGAGGTTTTTCCACTGGAAAACGTAGTTTAAGGCGTAAAATTCCCGGTGCTGGGAATCCCGGGCTGGGCTTTAAGGGATCAACTGCGTGTGGGCGCCGGGAGCTGCAATAGGGACCCCGAACGTGGCCCTGCCCGCCTCGGTCTCCCCCGGCAGAGGTGATGGTGCCCCATGGCGGAGCTGCGCGCCGCAATCCCTGCGGGAATGTCGCGCAGATCCTGCAGCTCAAGGTGCGCCGCTTGGAGCAGCTGCTGCGCCTCAAGGACGTGCGCATCCAGGACCTGAGCCGGCTGCTGCGGGAGGCCCAGCGGCGCTGAGCCCCGCGCTTCCCGGTGCTTCCCGGTGCTTCCCGGTGCTCCCAGTTCCAGCACAGCGACCCCCAGGACAAGATGCAGGAGTGGGAATGCGGTGCTCACCTCGGGGCATGGCTCTGATTTATCCCATCCCCTCCCATCCCCTCCCCTCCCATCCCATCCCATCCCATCCGCTCCCATCCCATCCCATCCCATCTCATCCCCTCCCCTCCCAATCCCATCCCATCCCCTCCCCTCCCCTCCCAATCCCGTCCCGTCCCCTCCCATCCCATCCCCTCCCCTCCCAATCCCATCCCATCCGCTCCCATCCCATCCCATCCCGTCCCCTCCCATCCCATCCCATCCCCTCCCACCCCATCCCTTCCCCTCCCCTCCCAATCCCCTCCCCTCCCCTCCCAATCCCCTCCCCTCCCCTCCCATCCCATCCCTTCCCCTCCCCTCCCACCCCATCCCATCCCATCCCATCCCATCCCCTCCCCTCCCAATCCCATCCCATCCTTCCCACGCCACGGATGCTGGGAATTAAATATCCCTGTTATTTGGTGAGGCTGTGAGGGGGTCCTGAGGGGTTATTCCCCGGTGGATGCGGTGTCGGAGTGGGATCTGCAGTGTTTGGAGGCTGGGGTTGGGTCCCATTCCCAAAGCTCTTGGGTTCTGTGATCCTTGTGGAGATCCATGCCTTGGAAAGGGTCTGCGTCGGGCAGCCCAGGACGGGAATGTCGCCAGGAATGGGAATGCCGCCGCTCCTCCCTGGTGACATTCCCATCGCTGGGGACATGGGGACACCCCTGCTGTGCCCAGGACACCTTTCAGGGTGAAACCCACTGGGGTTATCCCGTTCTTCCCACATGAGGATGTGCTGTATCCCATCCCGGGCTGAGCCGTGTGCAGGGTCACGCGTTGTCACGCGTTGTCACGCGTTGTCACGCGTTGTCACGTGTTGTCACGTGTTGTCACACGTTGTCACGCGTTGTCCCCCACCACTTTAAGCTCTCTGGCAGCTGTGGGCTCCGAAGGGAACGTTGTCCCAATGGGAACCTGCTCCAGCTGCTTTTCCCAGCCCCTATTCCCCCGGCAGCTGCCGGATCCCAGCATCCCGTGGGACACGCGGGCCCTTTCCCGTGCTCCGGTTCATGAGGAGACGTGATGGGAGCTGCAGGAGGTGGGAGGGGATTGGGATGAGGATGGGATGGGTTTGATGGGGTGGGATAGGATTGAATGGGGTAGGATGGGACATGGGATGGGGTGGAATGAGCTGGGATGGGATGAGGATGGGATGGGATAGGATAGGTTTGAATGGGATGGGGTGGGATAGGATGGGATATGGGATGGGGTGGAATGAGCTGGGATGGGATGAGGATGGGATAGGTTCGAATGGGATGGGGTGGGATAGGATTGAGTGGGATAGAATGGGATATGGGATGGGGTGGAATGAGCTGGGATGGGATGAGATGAGGTGGGATGGGGAGGGGATGAGGTGGGATGCAACAGGATGGGATGGGGTGAGATATTGGGTGGGATGAGATAAGGTGGATGGAATGAAATGGGGTGGGATGGGATGAGATTGGATGAGTTGAGATGACACAGGATGGGATGAGATGGCGTGGGATGAGATGGGATGGGATGAGATGGGATGGGATGGGATGAGATGAGATGGGATAGGATGTGATGGGATAGGATGTGATGGGATGAGGTGACATAAGATGTGATATGGGATGAGGTGACATGAGATGCGATATGGGATGGGATGAGATGTGGTGGGATGAGATGGGATGGGATGAGAGGAGGTGGGATGGGGAGGGGATGAGGTGGGATGCAACAGGATGGGATGGGGTGAGATATTGGGTGGGATGAGATAAGGTGAGGTGGAATGAAATGGGGTGGGATGGGATGAGATTGGATGAGTTGAGATGACACAGGATGGGATGAGATGGCGTGGGATGAGATGGGATGGGATGAGATGGGATAGGATGTGATGGGATAGGATCTGATGGGATGAGGTGACATAAGATGTGATATGGGATGAGGTGACATGAGATGTGATATGGGATGGGATGAGATGTGGTGGGATGAGATGGGATGGGATGGGATATGGGATACAGGATATGGGATGGGCTGAGCCATCCCTGCCCAGCTGCCCTGCCTGGGCCCCAGCCCAGTTCCCCCATGGAGCCGGGGTGAGCCAAGGGGTGTCGGGGACAGCACCACATCCACCTTCCCCTAACGGCCCGAGGCCTTCGGCTCCAGCCCCGGCTGCCCCCCACGCCCCCGAGGGTTCCGTGTGCCCGAGCCCTCCGTGCCGCCCTTTGCCTGTTTTAACTGGAATTAACCCCAAACCGGGGGGTTCATCCTGGGGGGGTCCCACCCGTTCCCACACCCTCGGAGGCTCCGGCCTGTCGCGGCACATCGTCTGGCCTGTCGCGACATGTCGTCGCGCTGTCGCGATGGCGGCCCGGACGGTAACAGTGATCACGTGTTGCCGCGGCAACCGCACCGCTCCATAACGGGGGTACCCCCGCCTCGCCCCTTCCCTCGCCGCCCGCTGCCCATTGGCTGCCCCAGCCCTTGGCCACGCCCCTTAGCGACAGCCCCGCCCCTTGGCGACGACCCGGCGGGCGTGGCTCGGTGGGCGCGGCCGTTAAAGGTGTGGACCAATGGGAAAGCGCGGAGGGCGTGCCGGGACCAATGGGAGGCGAGGGGCGGGTCCCGGTAGTGGGAAGCGGGGAGCCGGGAGCGCGGCGGCCCCGGCGGTGACCGGGACGGAGCGGGCGGGGTGAGCCATGGGGAGGGGGGGGACCGGGAGGGTCCCCGGGGCGGTGACACCGGGAAGGGGGGACCCGGGAGAGGGGAGGGGGGGTCCCGGTGCCGCGGTCCCGGCCGGTGCTGCTCGCCCGGGCCGGTCGTTGCCCCATGGCCGTGATGGGAGCACCGGGACCGGGGGCCCAGCCCCGCGTCCCCTCCTGCAGCCCCGGGGCTGGGGGGGGCAGGTGGGAAACACCGCGAGGTGATGGCGGAGGCAGATTGGGGCCACCGGGCGGGGCGGGGGGGTGCGTGTCTGCCGGTTGGGTACCGGGGGGGGGGGCCCGGGGAGACCGCGTACCCCGGGGCTGCGGCATTGACCCCGTCAAGGGCAACGGGAGCCCGCGGGCCCCGCATCCTGGGTGCGTTCCGGTGTTCCCGGTGGATCCCGGGCGCTGCCGGCCCGCGCTGGGGCTCCCGGCGGGGTTTGAGCCTCAGCTTTGGGGTGCCTGGACCTGAACCTCCGGTTTTTGGGGGGGGGGGAGTCCTGGTGTCCCCCGGTCTCGATGTACCCAGCCGGGGGGTGCTGGTGGGGACCCCCGTTATCGGGAGGGGGGGGCACAGCCATTCGCCAGGCCGGAGAGAGCAGCGATTCCCTTGGGAAAGGGATGGGGGGGGGGTTCCGTGCCCGGGTCTGCGCTGTTCCCACTCGGTTCAGGGCTCATGCGGCGGCTCCCGGAGCCTCCGTGCGGAGCGGGAATGGGGAAACTGAGGCACGGGGTGGGTTTGGGTGTGAATCCCCCTTTTCCAGGCGGGGAACCCCAGAGCTGATGGCGCAAGAGCCCGGGCTCCTCCTGCTGCCCGCACCCATGGGGGCTCTGCCTGCTCCTGCCCATCCCTGCCCCTTCCCTCCCCAGCTCCCGCGATCCCAAAGGATGGCCTCTTCCTGCCCGTGCCTTTGAAGTGCGGAGCAAGCACGATCGCTGCGGGGACTCATGGCCACGGCCAGCAAGGGTGAGTCCCGCACCCCTGCCCCGGTCCACGTCTGGTGCTCTGCTCCCTGCCACGGGATCCCTCTGCCTGCCCCATATCGGAGGCTACTGAATCCCAAGGGAATGCTGTCACCCTCTTCCCACTACAAGCCACAAGTGGGCATCCCCCGAGGCGCTTAGGGCAGGGGGGGTCCATTGGGTACCACCAGCATCCTTCAGCCACGGTCCCCCGCGCAGCAGCGCTGCTGCGGGATGCGGTGGGTGCCGGGTGCTCCCGGTGTCTCCCAGCCCCAAAGGGCTCTGGAAGCACCGGCTCTGGATGCTGGGGGGGGGGCAGGACGGACCCCAAAGTGCTCTGGTGCGGGGTGCCCCGTGTGGGAGCACCGAGACAAAGAGAGAAGAGGCTCTTTGTGCTGCGCGATTCCACCTCCTTTGTGTGCTCCAGCCTCCCTGGCTCCTTCCTACCGCCGCATCCCGCGGGATTCCCCCCTCCCGCCCGGCTTCCCAGCGGGATGAGGGCCGGCCGAGTGGCCCACTGGTGGCACTGGCAAAGGCCGGCAGGTTGCCTTGCTCCCAGCGGCACTGGGAAGCGGGGTTGGGGGTCCCTGAGTGCTTCCCTGCTCCCAGCTCTTCCTTGGGAACACTGAGACCCGAGGACTCTCATTCCCTGGGGGAACCCACTTCCAAGGCTTGTGATTGCTATTGGCACCTGTGCTACGGGCACCCACCCGCCCCACAAAGCCAGTGGGTCCCGGTGCCCCCCGTCCATGGCTGCGCCGGCACCCGAGGTGACCTGGGCGCTCCCGTGGTTTCCAGGCAATCCCTGCTGTCCCCTCGCGATCCGGGCTCGGGGCCCCTCAAGGTCACCGGGATGCAGGCACTGATCCTGTTCCCGGGACAGCTGCCGCGGATCCCGCTGCCGCCTTCCCGGCCTGTCCGGGCCGGGTTCCCTCGGGATGCCTCATCCCGGGCGCCTCCTCCGAGCCACACGGATGGGCTTTTCCCTGGAGCTGGGGTTTGGCTGCTCCGACCCTGGAGCTGCCGCTGGGATTCCCAATGGAAGCCCCGGGCTGGGAGCTCGCCCATGGCTCCTGCTCTATGGGATCCATGGGCTCACCCTGCCCTATGGCACCGCGGTGGGGGGGGCTCTGTGGTTGGGGGTTCCCGCTGTGTCCCCTTCCCATCGGCAGTGTGCGGGTCTCCGTTCTGTCCCTGCGTGCAGGGAAGGGCTGGCTGCTCCCGGCCGGACAAAGCCGGGTCGTTAAATCCCAGCCGCTCCCAGCACAAAGAGCCCGTTCTTTAGGGAGACACCAATCTGCTCCCGGCTGCTGCCGCATGGATGCTGGCGGCCGGAAGGGGGGGCTTGGGATGTGCTGGGGGGCAGGAGGAGGGAGAGGCTGGATTTCCCTTGGGAGCTCGCAGATCCCATTGCAGAGGAGCCCGTGGGGACCTCGCTGTCCCCAGCCTGGTGCCCGCCCTCGCAGGGGCGATGCAGGTTTGGGTTTTCCCATGGGATTGGCTTCCCTGGAGAGCCGTGGGACGTGCGGGATCCCTTCCCTGGGGATGCTGCCCCTGCCCCATCCGTGTCCCCCTTCCTGTGTATCCGCTCATCGGCTCCTCTGGGCTGAATGAGCAAATGGTGCTGGGCACGGGGGCTGGATGGAGCCCAGAGCCTCTGGGCATTGCTGGTGGCAGATCCATGCTGCGGATGTGGAACCGTGGCTGGAACTGGGGATATGGGGCTGGGGATGTGGGGATGGAGGTGGAGCTGGGGGCATGGGGATATGGGGCTGGGGATGTGGGGATGGAGGTGGAGCTGGGGGCATGGGGATGGAGCTGGGGATGGAGGTGGAACTGGGGATGTGGGGATGGAGGTGGAACTGGGGACATGGGGATGTGGAGCTGGGGCTGGGGATGTGGGGATGGAGGTGGAGCTGGGGATATGGAGCTGGGGACATGGGGATGTGGAGCTGGGGATGGAGCTGGGGGCATGGGGATGTGGAGCTGGGGATGGAGGTGGAACTGGGGATGTGGGGATGGATGTGGAACTGGGGACATGGGGATGTGGAGCTGGGGATGGAGCTGGGGCTGGGGATGTGGAGCTGGGGATGTGGAGCTGGGGACATGGGGATGTGGAGCTGGGGATGGAGGTGGAGCTGGGGACATGGGGATGTGGAGCTGGGGGTGGAGGTGGAACTGGGGACATGGGAATGTGGAGCTGGGGACATGGGGATGCGGAGCTGGGGATGGAGGTGGAACTGGGGACATGGGGATGTGGAGCTGGGGATGGAGGTGGAGCTGGGGACATGGGAATGTGGAGCTGGGGGCATGGGGATGTGGAGCTGGGGATGGAGGTGGAACTGGGGATGTGGGGATGGAGGTGGAACTGGGGACATGGGGATGTGGAGCTGGGGATGGAGGTGGAACTGGGGACATGGGGATGTGGAGCTGGGGACATGGGGATGTGGAGCTGGGGATGGAGGTGGAGCTGGGGACATGGGAATGTGGAGCTGGGGGCATGGGGATGTGGAGCTGGGGATGGAGGTGGAACTGGGGACATGGGGATGTGGAGCTGGGGATGGAGGTGGAACTGGGGACATGGGAATGTGGAGCTGGGGACATGGGGATGTGGAGCTGGGGATGGAGGTGGAACTGGGGACATGGGGATGTGGAGCTGGGGCTGGGGATGTGGGGATGGAGGTGGAGCTGGGGATATGGAGCTGGGGACATGGGGATGGAGCTGGGGATGTGGGGATGGAGGTGGAGCTGGGGATATGGAGCTGGGGACATGGGGATGTGGAGCTGGGGATATGGAGCTGGGGACATGGGGAGGTGGAGCTGGGGATATGGAGCTGGGGACATGGGGATGTGGTGCTGGGGATATGGAGCTGGGGACATGGGGATGTGGAGCTGGGGATGGAGGTGGAACTGGGGACATGGGGATGTGGAGCTCAGGGCATGGAGCTGGGGACATGGGGATGTGGAGCTGGGGATGGAGGTGGGGCTGGGGATATGGGGATGGAGGTGGAACTGGGGATATGGAGCTGGGGACATGGGGATGTGGAGCTGGGGATGGAGGTGGAACTGGGGACATGGGGATGTGGAGCTGGGGATGCAGAGCTGGGGCTGGGGATGTGGGGGATGGAGGTGGAACTGGGAGCATAGGGATGTGGAGCTGAGGACATGGGGATGTGGAGCTGAGGACATGGGGATGTGGAGATGGAGGTGGAACTGGGGACATGGGGATGTGGATAGAGGTGGGAATGTGGATGTGGGGATGGAGGTGGGGATATGGGGATGTGGATGTGGGGCTGGAGCTGGGGATGTGGATGTGGGGATGGAGGTGGGGATATGGGGATGTGGATGTGGGGCTGGAGCTGGGGATGTGGATGTGGGGATGGAGGTGGGGATATGGGGATGTGGATGTGGGGCTGGGGATGTGGATGTGGGGATGGAGGTGGAGCTGCGGATGAGGATGGGGATGTGGGGCTGGAGCTGGGGATGTGGATGTGGGGATGGAGGTGGGGATATGGGGATGTGGATGTGGGGCTGGAGCTGGGGATGTGGATGTGGGGATGGAGGTGGAGCTGCAGATGAGGATGGGGATGTGGGGATGGAGGTGGGGATGTGGGAGCAGGGCTGTGGAGCTGGCGCTGATGCTGTGGGCGATGCTGGGGTCCGTGCGCACGGGGGTGACCCCGGGCTCCCTCTCCCCCCCCCCGCAGGCAGCAAGGCCAAGGGGGGCTCCGTGCGCTTCGCCCCGGCGCAGCCCCCCGAGGGCTCCCACGGCCACGTCCACTTCGAGGAGCAGCTCCGCGATTCGGCCGTGATGGTGACGCGGGAGAGGGACGGCAGCTTCCTGGTGAAGGTGGGGGGGGGCCGCGCTCGCCAGCCCCGGGCAGTTTGGGAACGGTTCTGGCCCCATTGCAATCACGGAAACGGCCCCGTTATCCCTGCTTGACCCAGGGAGCGTCCCCATCCTTCCCTGCAGGCGGCTCCTTGCTCCCAGTGCTCCGGGTTCACCCCTCTGACTCCCCCAGGCATGGGGCAGGCTTGGAGGGTCCCCATTCCTGATGGGACAAACTGGGGGGGGGGGTCCTGGTCCTGCTGCCCCCGGGGGGTGGGGATGGGGCACCACCTCCTGTGCCCTGTTGTGGGGGACAGGGCTGAGCCGTGGGTGCTCACTGCTCCCATTGCCACGGGCACTGATCGTGGGCCCAGGGCTGGCGGTGGCTCCCAGGCGGGTGCTGACAACGGGGACAAGCAAGGCACCGCGTAACGACACCGAGGGATTCATCCTGGCGCCTGGCAGGTTCACAGCCACGCACACACGAGCTGCCAGCCCCATCCCTCAGCTCCTCATCCCTCAGCTCCTCATCCCTGAGCTCCTCATCCCTCGGCTCCTCATCCCTCGGCTCCTCATCCCTGAGCTCCTCATCCCTGAGCTCCTCATCCCTCGGCTCCTCATCCCTGAGCTCCTCATCCCTGAGCTCCTCATCCCTGAGCTCCTCATCCCTCGGCTCCTCATCCCTGAGCTCCTCATCCCTGAGCTCCTCATCCCTCAGCTCCTCATCCCTGAGCTCCACATCCCTGAGCTCCTCATCCCTGAGCTCCACATCCCTGAGCTCCTCATCCCTGAGCTCCACATCCCTGAGCTCCACATCCCTGAGCTCCACATCCCTCAGCTCCACATCCTCAGCTCCTCATCCCTGAGCTCCTCATCCCTCGGCTCCACATCCCTGAGCTCCTCATCCCTGAGCTCCACATCCCTGAGCTCCACATCCCTCAGCTCCACATCCTCAGCTCCTCATCCCTGAGCTCCTCATCCCTCGGCTCCACATCCCTGAGCTCCTCATCCCTCGGCTCCTCATCCTCAGCTCTGTATCCCTGAGCTCCTCATCCCTCGGCTCCTCATCCCTGAGCTCCTCATCCCTCGGCTCCTCATCCCTCAGCTCCTCATCCCTCGGTTCCTCATCCCTCGGTTCCTCATCCCTCAGCTCCTCATCCCTCTGCTCCTCATCCCTCGGCTCCTCATCCTCAGCTCCTCATCCTCGGCTCCTCATCCCTCAGCTCCACATCCCTCGGTTCCTCATCCCTCGGCTCCTCATCCCTCGGCTCCTCATCCCTCGGCTCCTCATCCCTCAGCTCCTCATCCCTCGGTTCCTCATCCCTCGGTTCCTCATCCCTCAGCTCCTCATCCCTCGGTTCCTCATCCCTCGGTTCCTCATCCCTCGGCTCCTCATCCCTCGGCTCCTCATCCCTCGGTTCCTCATCCCTCGGCTCCTCATCCCTCGGCTCCTCATCCTCGGCTCCTCATCCCTCAGCTCCACATCCCTGAGCTCCTCATCCTCAGCTCCTCATCCCTGAGCTCCTCATCCCTCAGCTCCTCATCCCTTGGCTCCTCATCCTCGGCTCCACATCCCTCAGCTCCACATCCCTCGGCTCCTCATCCCTGAGCTCCTCATCCCAGAGCTCCTCATCCCTGAGCTCCTCATCCCTCAGCTCCTCATCCCTCGGCTCCTCATCCCTCGGCTCCACATCCTCAGCTCCTCATCCCTCGGCTCCACATCCTCAGCTCCTCATCCCTCGGCTCCTCACCCGCTGCGAGCTGGACCCAAGGGAATGGGGCCGGAGCCCCTCGGGGCGTTGGTGGCAATGGCTGTGATGGGCCCCTGGAGCTGCTTTACCACATCCATCCCCGGCGGTGCCCAAGGCCAGGCTGGAGCAGCCTGCTCCAGCGGAAGCTGTCCCTGCCCGTGGGACCTTCAACCCAAACCATCCCCTCCCTCCGGGCCCGGAGCCCCCGGCGGCTCCGCGCTGGGTGCGGAGCTCCCCCAGCTCTGAGTCAGTGCCTGGTCTCGGTGGGTGATGGGATCCCTCCCTCGATCCGGCACGGAATTGCTTAGCAATCGCCGGGCCGTGGGTGGGATGTTGTTGTCTTCCCCCTGTGCCGTGCACCGGCACCCGGCACCGCACGTGCCGGCAGTGGGGCGGGGGGGGGCTGCAGCTCTTCCCTATGGATAGGTTTGGGATGCACCCCCCGTCGCGCTCCCGATGGAGGACTTGGTGCAGCGGGCGCCCCACGCCTGCGGGATGGGCTCGTTTGCGATGGGGGGGTTGCGGGCGCACCCGGGGCGCTGCGGCCCTTCGGGAGCCCGATCCTTCCTTCCCCACATGGCTTTGGGCGGGGAGGGGCCCGGCGCGGAGGGCTCTGCCCCGGGCTGACATCTCCGGGGGTGCTCTTGGGAGCATCCTGGCTTTGAGGGACCGGGAGCAGCGGCTGAGCTCATGGATCATGTGCTGTTATCCCAGTTAGCCAGGAGCGGGCCCCCCCCGCTTCCCATGGGTGTGGGGCGGGTGCGATGCGGAAGGGAAGGGGCTAAGGCAGGACCATGGCCCGGCCCCACCGCCTGCCCCCGTTCCAGGTGGGGTTCCTGAAGATCCTGCACAAGTACGAGATCACCTTCGTGCTGCCGCCGCTGCGGGGCGCGGGGGGGGAGCTGTGCCCTGTGCCCCTGCCCAGCCTCAACCTGCGCCTCACCGGCATCACCCCCCTGCCTGAAGGTAAAGCCTGGACCCCCCCCCCCCCATTGTCCTCCTCCTGCCCTGGGGGAAACCTGGAGAGGGGCTTGGGATGGGGGATGCAGGGACAGGGCAAGGGGAATGGCTTGAACCTGCCAGAGGGGAGATGGATGGGGTACAGGGAAGGGGGGGGGGCATGGGAAGGGGTTGAATGGAGGAGCTGGGGCTGCCCCATCCCTGGCAGTGTTCAAGGCCAGGTTGGACACAGGGGCTTGGAGCAAGCTGCTCCAGTGGAAGGGGTCCCTGCCCGTGGCAGGGGTTGGAGCTGGGTGGATTTAAGCTCCCTTCATCCCACCCCATTCCATGGCTCCAACTCCATGGGTGAGCACTTCCCAATCCCAGCCTCATCCTGCCCCGGGTGCTTTTCCCAGTGCCCATCCCTGCAGCTTTACCCCAGATCCACGTTGTTTCCATTGCGCATCCCAGGATGCTCCCTCCCCTCCCCGCGTGCTTCAGGAGCAGCTTTTGTGGCATCCGAGTGCAGGAGCAGAGCCCGGACACGGGGGCACTTTTAGCTCCTGCTCCAAGGGGCTGCTGCGGGAGCCATGGAATGGGTTGGGATGGAAGGGACCTTAAAGCTCCTCCAGCCCCAGGGACCCCTTCCTCTGGAGCAGCTCGCTCCAAGCCCCTGTGTCCAACCTGTTCCTCCGCCTCCTCCTTCCTCCCCATCCTTCCTCATTCCCATCCCGGCTCCCTCACTCCATCCCACCCCATCCCCTCCCCGCCGCTGTTGCTCCATCCCCTGCAGCCCCACGTCTCACCATTACTCATCCCCTGCAGCTGGGAGGCTGGAAGCTCTTTTACCCCAGATAGGCGTCAATCACCTGCGGCTTGGTGTGGGTTTGGATCCGTTTGGGATGTGGGAGGGGAGCAGCGGATGGGGGTTGGTGGCGCAGAGCCCACGAGCGGATGGGGACGAGGACAGGGTTTGCTCCAGGAGACCCCAGCCTGGCTCTGGGTTGGGGTCCCCTCCTCACCAGCATCCCCACAGGAGCAGGGATGTGCCCGGTGGCCCCCATGGAGCACTTGGGACACCCAAGCATCCCCCTGGGCTCCGTGGCAGCCGTGCTGGGACACGGATCCGCTCTGGGAACACCGTGCCGGCAGCTCCCGTTGATGCATCCCATGGGAGCTGCTTCCCGCATCCCTGTCCCCATGGGGCCGTGTCCATCCCGCTGGCTCCAGCCCAGCAAAGCACTCACAGCTCCCTTTGGTTGGAGCTTCCCACCTCGGCCGGGCTTGGAGCCAGGAAAGCTGCAGGGAAAGGAGCCCTTTGGGAGCCAGGAGCAGCTCCAGTGGGATCTGGTGCCCTGTGGTGCCTGTCCTCAGGGTCCTGGTGATGGGGACAGGGGGGTCTCGGGGGTGCCATTGGCTTGGGGGATGCTCAGTGGTACCCTCGGCCTGGCATCCCCGGCACCCCCCCTGCATCTCTGTGGTGCTTCGGCATGTGTCAGCATCCTTGTGCCTGCCTCGTGGTGGGGGGAAACTGAGGCACGGGGATGGGGATGGAGCCGGGCAGGGGAAGGGATGCGGGGAAGATGCGGGCAGCTCTGAGCCCCCTGCCTGTGCCCCAGGGTACAGCGTGAAGTGCGAGTACACGGCGCACAAGGAGGGGGTGCTGAAGGAGGAGATGGTCCTGGCCAGCGAGGCCGGCGAAGGAGCCACCATCAGGGTCGTGGTCCAAGCCCGTGTCATGGGTAAGGGGCTGCTGGGGCCGGGTGTGGGGTGGCAATTCCTCCCTGGAGCAGCTGGGACTGGGGGTTGCTCATGGGCTTGGCCAGAGACCTGCTGCCTTCTGCAGTGCTGGCGAGCTGGGGATGCTCCCTGCATCCCATGAGCCTGCCCCGTGCTCCCTCCTTCCCAACCCAGCTCCCACCAGTTCCCCCAGTCCAGCCCCCGCAGCCACTTCCCACCTGAGGAGCTGCCGAAACTGGATGGTTTCACCCCCAAATCCCCATCCCGGGGGGTTTCACCCCCAGAATCCCCATCCCAAGGGCTGAGGCTGTGGAGTCTCCCTGGTGAAGGGGCACATGGAGCAGGGCTGCAGCGGGTGGCTTGGGGGCATCCCTTGTCCCCCCCATCCTCACCCCATCCCCACTGGGGTCCCTCCCCATCCACCCACAGCTGCTCATTAGGCAGCAGAGTCATTAATGATTTTCCTTCTCCCCCGCCCTTTGCTGCCTGATGCTTGGTTCATCAGAGCCACGTTTCACAGCTCTGCCCCCCTGCACTGGGTGACACCGTGGCTGCTTCCACCGGCATCTTCAGTGGGGCTGGGTTTGGGGTCCCCCTGCTGGGTAGGGATGGGGGTTCACTCATTGTGCCCCCAGCACCTTGTCACACCGGGGCTGAGCATCATCCCCTTGCAGCCACAGTGTGCAGCATCCCTGCATCCCCATCCCCTTGGGTACCAGCATCCCCTTGGGTACCAGCATCTGCTTGGGTACCAGCATCCCCTTGGCTACCAGAATCCCTTGGGTACCAGCATCCCCTTGGGTACCAGCATCCCTTGGGTACCAGCATCCCCTTGGCTACCAGCATCCCCTTGGGTACCAGCATCCCCTTGGGTACCAGCATCCCTTGGGTACCAGCATCCTCTTGGCTACCAGAATGCCTTGGGCACCAGCATCCCCTTGGGTACCAGCATCCTCTTGGCTACCAGCACCCCTTGGGTACCAGCATTTCCTTGGGTACCAGCATTTCCTTGGGTACCAGCATCTCCTTGGGTACCAGCATCCCTTGGGTACCATCATCCCCTTGGGTACCAGCACCCCTTGGGTACCAGCATCCCTTGTGTGGTGATGGTGGGAGGGGGGACAACCACCTGTGGGCCTCAAAACACCCCAGAAGGCCCCATAGGCCAGCATGGGGGTGCTGTGGCTGTCCTCCAGCTGTGTCCCTGTCCCTCCCTCCCGCAGACCGGCACCACGGCACCCCGATGCTGCTGGATGGGGTGCGCTGCATCGGCGCCGAGCTGGAGTACGACTCGGAGCAGAGCGACTGGCACGGCTTCGACTAGACCCTGACCCCCCCGTGAGGATGGAGCCCATATGGAATCAGGGACAAATCCCCCCCCCCCCCCCCCCGTGTCAATGGGGTCACCAGGAGCTGGGGGTCCCCCAGTGCCGGAGCCCTGGGGAAGGGACCCCCTCGCTGCCTCTGGCTCTCTTGCTGCTTTCCCCCCGCTTTCCTCCCCGGAGCCCCCCAGGAAAGGGACGTTTGGGGGTGCTGGAGCCCCTCAGGGTGAGGTTTTGCCTCTTGGGGTGCAGAGCAGAGCTGGACCAGGGCAGGGTCCGGCAGTGGAAGGGGTCAGGTCCCCAGGGCTGCCCTTGGGACAGAGCCTGTCCGTGTCCTCGTGTTGCAGCCATCGCCTTGGTCTTAGTCCTGTTACCCTTTCCCCTCCAGTTTCCTGTTCCCTTCCAGTTTCCCTTTTCCCCTCCAGTTTCCCTTTTCCCTTCCACTTTCCCTTTTCCCTTCCACTTTCCCTTTTCCCCTCCAGTTTCCCTTTCCCCTCCAGTTTCCCTTTTCCCTTCCACTTTCCCTTTTCCCTTCCACTTTCTCTTTTCCCTTCCACTTTCCCTTTTCCCTTCCACTTTCCCTTTTCCCTTCCACTTTCCCTTTTCCGTTCCACTTTCCCCTTTCCCCTCCAGTTCCCCTTTCCCCTCCAGTTCCCTTTCCCCCCTTTCCTCGTTCCCCCCTTTCCTTGTCCCCCCCCAGGGAGCCCCATGGTACACAGACCAGGAGCAGTGGCTCAGTTCTGACAGCAACAGGAGGCTTCATGTGCCTATATATATAGCTATAAATACAGAGATATATATATACATATACATGTATGAGTGGGGGTTAAGTACAAACCTATAGAGGTAAAGAGTAAACTGGAGCTGGGGGGGGGGATGGAGCCCAATTCACCCCCATTGAACCCCCTGGGAGCACTGGGGCTGGTGCTGCAACCCCATTAAACCCTATGGAGGACACGGGGGGGACGGAGAAGGGGCACCCCGTAAGGGTACAAGGGGCTGCAGGAGCCTATCCCTGTGTGGGGATGGGGATGGGGTGAGGGGCTTCGTGCTGCACAGTCCCATTGCAAGGGGGTCTGGGCCCCCCCGCTGTGTCCCTGTCCCCATCCTCACTGGGCTGCATGGGGGGTGTGTGACAAAATCCATCTCTGTGGGTGCAGGATGTGGGGCTGGGGCCTCAGGGGTGCTCTGGGGCTTGGTGGTGGCCGCGACCCACACTTGGGGGGCGGCCGTTTCCTAACAGTCAAATCCCGACCCATTCCTATGGGAGGTGCAGCAGCTTTGGGGTGTCCCTTGAGTCGAGGGCCTGCAAGAGGGGCCCGGTGGCAGCTCGGTGTCTGCCTGCGTCCTTGCACCCATGGGTGTCCCAGAGCACTCATGGGGTGTCTCGGAGCACCCAGAAGTGCCCTAAAGTACCTGGGGGGGTCCGAAACACAAATGGGTGCCTCAAAACACTGATGAGCATCCCCAAAGCGCCCGTGGGTGGCCCAAAGCGTCTGTGGGTGTCCCAAAATACGAATGGGTGTCCTAAAACAAGGGGGTGTCCCAGAGCACCCAGGGGTGTCCCAAAGCACTAATGGGGTGTTCCAAAGGATCTCTAGGGTGTCCCAAAGCACCCATGGGTGTCCCCGAAAGCATTCATGGGGTGTCCTAAAGGACCAACGGGGTGTTCCAAAGCACTAATGGGTGTCCCAAAGCACCCATGGGATGTCCCAGAGCACTAATGGGGTGTCCCAAAGCACCCATGGGGTGTCCCAAAGGACCAATGACATATCCCAAAGCACCCATGGGTGCCCCAGAACACTCATGGTGTGTTCCAGATCACCCATGGGTGTCCCAAAGCATCCATGGGGTGTCCCAAAGGACCTGTGGGGTGTCCTAAAGCATCCATGGGTGTCCCAAAGGACCAATGTGGTGTCCCAAAGCATCCATGGGGTGTCCCAGAGCACCCGTTGGGTGTTACAGAGAACCCATGGGTGCCCCAGAGCACCCATGGGGTGTCCCAAAGGCTCTGTGGGGTGTCCCAAAGCACCCATGAGGTGTCCCAAAGGACCAATGGGGTGTCCTAAAGCACCCATGGGTGTCCCAAAGGACCTGTGGGGTGTCCCACAGCACCCATGGGTGCCGCAGAGCACTCATGAGGTGTCCCAGAGCACCCACGGGCGTCCCACAGCACCCATGGGCGTCCCAGAGCACCCATGGGATGTCCCACAGCACCCATGGGTGTCCCACAGCACCCATGGGATGTTCCACAGCAACTACGGATGTCCCACAGCACCCACGGGATGTCCCAGAGCACCCATGGGATGTCCCACAGCACCCACGGGATGTTCCACAGCAACTACGGATGTCCCACAGCACCCATGGGATATCCCACAGCACCCAGGGATGTCCCACAGCACCCATAGGATGTCCCACAGCACCCACGGGATGTCCCACAGCACCCATGGGATGTCCCAGAGCACCCACGGGATGTCCCACAGCACCCATGGGATGTCCCAGAGCACCCACGGGATGTCCCAGAGCACCCATGAGATGTCCCAGAGCACCCACGGGATATCCCACAGCACCCATGGGATATCCCACAGCACCCATAGGATGTCCCAGAGCACCCATGGGTGCCCCAGAACACCCATAGGATGTCCCACAGCACCCATAGGATGTCCCAGAGCACCCATGGGATATCCCAGAGCACCCATAGAATGTCCCACAGCACCCATAGGATGTCCCACAGCACCCATGGGTGCCGCATCGCCCCCGGCGCGGGTGCCCGCGGGGCTCAGTTGCCGAGGAAGTCGATGGTGGCCCGCACGGTCTTGGCGGTGCTGACGTCCACGGCGGTCACCTTGATCTCGGTGTCTCCGAACTGCATGGAGGCGCGGATCTCCCTGCGCGCGCCCGCGCCGCGGCCCAGCTGCTCCAGCTCCAGGCTGACGGTGCCGCACTTGCGCACGCCGGGGTCGGTGATGTACTGCGCCTCGTCGGAGGCGCTGCAGTAGACGTTGATGACGGTCCTGCGCTGGCCCGGCCGCGCCGGGCAGTACCGGCGCTGCACCACCTCTCCCAACGCCACCGACTGGTCCACGGCCACGAAGCGCTCGAAGACGTCGGTGCACCAGGCCCGGCCGCCCTTCAGCAGCAGCTTCTCGCGGGGGTGCTTCCCCTCCACGAACTTGTTGAGCACGCCCACGCCGTAGGAGAGGGGCGAGCGGCGCACGCGCACCACGGTGGGGTCGAGGCCGAAGAGCACGGCGCCCTTGAGGATGGTGAGCCCCACGTCCTGCGGCACCAGCACCCGGCACGCCGCGCCCAACGCCGCCTGCACCGCGCCCTGCAGCATGGGCGACTCGGCGAAGCCCCCCACCAGGAACAGGAACTTGATGCCTTGGACCTCCGGCTTCTTGAGGAGATCGTCTGGGGAGGGGAAAGGGGGAGAAAGGGGGGGGGAGTTGGGGCTGTGGGGGCGGCTGCGGAGTCACCGAGGCAAAGCGGGGTGGGAAAGACCATGAAGGTCATCGAGTCCAACCACTGAGGTCATCGAGTCCAACGGTTGAAATCAAACCCAACCGTTGAGATCAAGTCCAACCACTAAGGTCAAGCCCAACCGTTGAGATCATCAAGTCCAACCATTGAGATCAAGCCCAACCATTGAGATCAAGCCCAACCTTCAGGTCAAGTCCAACCACTGAGATCATCAAGTCCAACCATTAAGTCCAACCATTGAGATCAAGTCCAACCATTAAGGTCAAGCCCAACCACTGAGATCATCAAGTCCAACCATTAAGTCCAACCGTTGAGATCAAGTCCAACCATTGATATCATCAAGTCCAACCATTCAGGTCAAGTCCAACCATTGAGATCATCAAGTCCAACCATTGAGATCATGCCCAACCATTGAGATCAAGTCCAACCACTAAGGTCAAGCCCAACCATTCAGATCAAGTCCAACCACTAAGGTCAAGTCCAACCATTAAATTACCACTGAGATCAACAAGTCCAACCACTGAGATCATCAAGTCCAACCATTAAGTCCAACCGTTGAGATCAAGCCCAACCATTGAGATCAAGTCCAACCATTAAGGTCAAGTCCAACCACCGAGGTCACCAAGTCCAACCATTAAGTCCAACCATTATCAAGTCCAACCTCTGAGATCAACAAGTCCAACCATTGAGATCATCAAGTCCAACCGTTGTCAAGTCCAGCCATTGAGATCAAATCTAACCATTGAGGACATCAAGTCCAACCACTGAGATCAAGAAGTCCATTATCACCAAGTTCAACCATTGAGAAGATCAAGTCCAGCCACTGAGATAGAGTCCATTAAGACCAAGTCCAGCCATTGAGATCATCAAGTCCAACAACTGAGAGTCCTAAGACCAACCATTGAGATCATCAAGTCCAACCATCGTCAATTCCAACCATTATCAAGTCCAACCACTGAGATCAACCATGATTAAGTCCAGCCATTAAGATCAAGTCCAACCATTGAGATCAAGTCCAACCATTACAATCGAGTCCAACCATTAAGATCAAGCCCAATCATTGAGATCACCAAGTCCAACCACTGAGATAGAGTCCAACCATTACGTCCAACCATTGAGATCATCAAGTCCAACCATTCAGATCAAGTCCCCCCATTAAGATCAAGTCCAACCATTGTTGTCATCAAGTCCAACCTTTGCCCCTACCCCAGTGATGGCAGGAGGGTGTCAGGATCCCAAGGCACAAGGGGACCCCCTTTGCAATGCCTGTTCCCACCCTCCAACACACCCAGTGTGAGGAGGCCCTGCCCATGGCTACCGGATCAGTAGCAGGTACAAGAAGATGCTCAACAAGAAGAGCCCCATCCCTGGCAGTGCTCAAGGCCAGGTTGGACACAGGGGCTTGGAGCAAGCTGCTCCAGTGGAAGGGGTCCCTGCCCGGGGCAGGGGTTGGAGCTGGAGGAGCTTTGAGGTCCCTTCCAACCCAAACCACGCTGTGATTCCATGATTGCTCCTTTCCAAGCCAGCCCATTCCCTGACTCCATGAAGCCCTACCGATGTGTTTGATGATCTGGCTGATGGTGGGCTGGAAGAGCTCGCTCATGGCCTCGGGGGACATCCGCAGCATCCCTTGGGACGACCACTTCACCAAGTTAACACTGGGGAAGGAGAGAAGATCCAGGCCTGCCCTCACCAGTGGCTCCCCCCTCCCAGGAGCAGAGCACCCCAGTTTAGAGCACCCCAAGCCCCATTCCCCCCCCCAGGCCCTCACTTGCTCCTCTTCAGCGCCGTCTCCACGTTCTGCCCGCGGTGCTTGCGGTAGAAGTCGATGAAGGAGAAGGGCAGGGAGATGTTGAGGGCGCTGGCGCGGGCCGGGGCCGCCGCTCGCTTCCGCGCCTCGAAGGCGATGGTGAGGTCCACCCAGGCCGCCG